CGATACCAGTGTAACGAGCGTGAGGCTGAGGGTGAGCCGAGGGAGAGGAGAGAGAGGGAGAGAGTGAGAGCACACACACACACTCACTCACTCGACTCGACGGACTCGGACTGAGGGTCGGACGCAGACACAGTGGTAAGGCACAAAGTCGAAGTCTTCGATTCCGAATGCCGAAACAGCAAGTCACACTGAGTACGAGTACAGCAGCAGAGAACTGGTACGAGACTGCCCCCCCCGTGTACCGTACGGGGAGCCGGTATAAGTACCGGTGACACGTACGGTACCGGGGGTATTTCTGCAAAGGCCCCGAGGGCAGAACTGAAAAATGCAGTATTTGAAAGTGGCGCCCGAATTGCAGCATGGCGCCAGTTGTCCAAAATCGAGCCCTGGCGAAGTCCGTAACAACATGGAAAATTTTGGGCGGGTTGGGTAAAGTGCCAATTCCAAAAAAAAACACTCATCTCTGGTCCGTGGTTACCACGGATGTAACCCATTGACCGGTTTGAACCCCTTTCAAAACCTGTTTGTCGTAACTTGGTACCCCCCAAGCGGCCCCTGGGAGACCCATCACCAAACTGGAAGATAGACCAAATTCTGACTGCTCAGGCCAGGGGCAGTCCAGTCCTGAAGTCAGAATTTGCTTCCTTCTCCCAATCCTCGCCTCTTCTTTGACCCGGCCGTTCTTCCCAGGCAGCAGTCCCCCCCCTTCCCCTCCCGTCCAGGCTTCAATACAGAATAAGAGGAGCGTACTTGCAGACCACTTACAGGTTAGTTACAGATACTGTTAATCGAGTGAAAGTTCAGACACAAACCGACCTGCAGTTCACGCAACTTCTAACTAACATGCAGAAAAAATGAAAATAATCTTAGAGCCTGCAGGATTGGCTGTGGTGGTGGTCGGGTGAGGGGGGAGGGAGGGTGGGAGGGTGGGGCAGGACTACACAGCCATAGCATCCTGATTCGAAAACTTACCCGCTGTAACCTCCGCCATGAATACAGAAAACAACGGGACCATCCTTGCCAGCTGTATAAACGTGGAATTTCTGCAAAACGGCATGCAAAGGGGAGAACAGAACATCAATTAGACGCGGTATGTACGTGATGACCAAATGGTGGGCATCAGATTAAAGGAAACACTGTCCAGTCTCCACGGTAGGAAAGGTATGACCAATGCTCATGTGCCACACGTTTCAGCATGAACAAACGGATCTTTCTCACCAGGAAAACACTTGTGAAAGCCCGCCACTGAGCTCGAACGTTTCAAGATGCAACACCTCGCAATCCACTGAATGACACACAACCCTGTGCCAGGTTAATGGAATCAAGTAGGCCGCCCATGGGGCTGAATGATGCAGACACGAAAACGTTAGTAAACAGCTCGGTGGTTCAAACGTCAAACTTTGAATCCCAATGGAATCAGATGGGATCGAATAATGTCTGGGTCCACCACCTTGAAAAAGGATAAGTGGAGTTTGAACTTTGAACTTAGAGCCCTGTCAGACTTGGTGATGGTGAGCACTGCCTTGACTTTGGTTCTGTTTTGTATTGTTTTGTTTTACGATCATTTCTCAACCCATGTGTGTCATCCTTGCTCAGGGGCCATGCTAATCTTCCTGTGTCATTCCAATCCAATGCTGGTCCGCGGATGGCCCAGGGACCCCTCCCCCAACCAGGAGCGTCCCAGTTGGACCAGCCAGTGTACCGGGCCGGTGCGCTCCCGGTCGCCCACAGGACATTTTGGCTGGGGGCAAAATTCGAGCAGGAAAGTGGCCTGGCTTCCTCCTGGGGCCCCATGGAGGCTGCTGATGCTGGAAAACAAGAAGGGCGGGGCCAGATGACACTGTGTTTTGCAATTTATGGCGGTCAATCCTGGCCGACAATCATGCTAGATCGGATGCCAAGATTGGCCGCATCTTGAACTTTCATAGAGGGAGGGGGTTCTTTCGAACTCCCGCAGGAAAATTGATTTGGACCACAGACCAGACATAAACCGATCAGTAGAAATACTTCACTTGATCTGAGCCAAAAGGCCAAGAAATATGCCACCACTTTATGGTAAGGCTTTGCCCCTCCCAGAGCGCTACACACTCTATCTGGACAGATGATGAGGCAAAACAGAAGGACTTCTGACTTCATGAGCTGAAACCTGAACCCATAACTTTCTTCTAGAGCGTAGCGCTTTGGGAGCTGCAAAACCACAGACTGAGAACCCTGCTGTCTTATGAGTTTTGCCGCTGGACTAAGTGACTTGCTGAGATTCCCGTATTCTGCTGAGGTTTCTAAGTACATGTGTGTGCAGGGTTGCTGAGTTTCCAAGTGTTTGCCTGACTGCACGATTCCTTCGGGGTATGTGTGACCCGCCAGGGCCCCCGAGCCTGGAACTTACCTGTGGCCAAGCTTTTGTGAGGGCCCAGCGGGATTTAGAAGTAGGCTAGGACCACGTAGGTTGGAAAAGTGGGTAGGTAGGAAGAAGAAGACAAAAAGTTAGTACCTTTAGAGGTCAAAGAAGTCTTGCCGGGGACCCTTCCCCCGACCCGGAGCCTCCCAGTTGGCTCCCGGTTCCCCCCAGCGCATTTTTACTGGGGCCGGGATTTTTTTTTTTTTTGGGCCTAAGTTGTTGTTTGGGGCTCGTAGACCCCGCTACCGCTGAAAGAAATGCGGACCGGGCCCAGTAGGCCCGACAGTGGGCTAAAGAAAAAGCGGCCGATCTTGGCCACCGATATTTATTGGTAGGCACCCAAGATCGGCTGCAATTGAAACTGGGAGAAGGCGCTGAAGTTCAGCTCGAAAGACTACTGTGCCCCGCCCCCAGCTTCAAATTCCGTCCGAAGTATCCCGCCCGTCAACCCATGACCCCGCCATGCCGTTCATCCGTTCGAGACGCGCTGAGCGAGTCCCCCATCGTCGTCGTTGAGTCGCATGTGCTGCTGTCCACCACGCGAGCCTGCCATCGCAACTCCAGGTGTGTGTGTGTGTGTGGTATGTGTGTGTGTGTGTGTGAAAGAGAGAGAGAGAGAGAGAGAGAGAGAGCTGCGAGCCTCCTCTCTTCTTCTTCTTCGTCGTCGTTGTCTTCTCCTCCTCCGCCACTGCTCCTTCCTCCAGTCATATTCATCATTATCGTCAACTTCTCAACCTCCTCCTCCTCCTCCTCTTTCTCTTCTTCTTCTTCTTCTTCTTCTTCTTCTTCCTCCTCTTCTTCTTCTTCTTCTTCTTCTTCTTCTTCTTCTTACTCTTCTTCTTGTTCTCCTCCTCCTCCACCACAACTTCTTCCTCCTCTCCTATTCATCATCATCATCGTCATCTTCTCCTAGCTCCTCCTGCTCCTCTTCTTCTTCTTCTTCTTCTTCTTCTTCTCCTCCTCCTCCTCTTCTTCTACCCCATCTCCTCTTTTGTCCTTTCGTCGTACACTCTCCTTTCTTTTTTTTTCCCTTTCTTTTATTAGGGAAAAGTCGAGCCTCCAGCTCCCACTCTTCTTCTCCTCTTTAGCGTCTTCTTCTTCTTCTCCTCCTCAGCGTCTTCTTCTACTTTTCCTCAGCGTCTTCTCCTTTTCCTCCTCCTCCTCCTCTTCATCTCCATCGTCCTTTCCTCTTCTTATCTTTTCCTCTTCAGCTCCCCTTCTTTTGTTTTTTTTTGGGACCAAAACTACGAAAATGTCAAACAGTCCCCCACCCTTTTTCTCCTCCTAAGCGTCTTCTTCTTTCTACGTCAGTGTCTTCTTCTTCTTCTTCTCCTCTACCTCTTCTTCTTCTCCACCTCCTCCTCCTCTTTTTCTTCATCCTGACATCCTTCTCTCCTCTTGTTTACTTTCCTCCACCACTTCCCTTTTTCTCCTCCTCAGCGTCGAGCACCAGCACAAACAACCCCCCTCCCACCAACTTAACCCCCCCCCTCCCGGATGAAAGTTTTCAGTTCACAGTTTTCTTTGCGGATTCTGACTGTTCGCGCCGAGTGCAGTCGAGCCCTGCTTTCCAAAAAAAAAAAAAAAAAAGTTGGGCTGGTTTTGAGCCCAACCGGATTTCTGGTTGGATGACATTGGTCGATCCGGCCTGGTTGCATCCGGGCCGGTCCAACACTGGGTCGAAGTGAATTTAGAGTCCAGTAGGCTTAGAAGGCAAGGTATCGGTCCAAAGCCTGAGTCTAGAGCCTGCAGGAGGGGATATCAGACTGCAATGATGTTTCCCTTCAAAACAGGGAAAATACCGGTGGCTTGGGAGGCTGCATGGCCTGGAAAGTCACCACCCGAAGAGGCAGTAGTCCGGTATATCTTGGGAGAGAGAGAAGAGATGCAGTCATAACGAGGGTGCAAACACCTCATCGAAGTTCACAAACACCACACACCCTCAGCATGACTATATCGGACCTGCAAGGTAGCTTGCATACATTCGAGGACACAACACGCCCCCATAAATTTCACAAAATTATGCGCTTCCATGCGGGTGCATTCACAATTTCACATTGTTTCCTGGAATGTCCACAAGCTACCTTGCAGGTCCAATACGGTCAGGATGACCGTCGGGAAGGTTACTGCCCCCCCCCACCCCCACCCCCAAACCCCGAACCAGGAAGATTAGTGTGACCCCTGCACATATTTAGAAAGAAATACAAACAAAAGAAGAAAGCCACCTGTCACGACAACAACAAGCATCCTCATCATGACTGCATAGGATCTGAAAGGTGGCTCTTATGCATTCAGAGAGAGAGGGAGAGGGTGCATGGTTTTGTCAGATAGGTAGCAAAAAACGAAACAAACGGTCCGAACTATCCGTTTCCCAAAAAACACAACACACCCTCATCATGGCAGCACTGGACCTGAAATGCTGAGAGATATGTTGAATGCATTCCAACCACAGACACACACACGCCCACAGTTTTTGGGTGCCGATGTCGTGCACGGCCGCATTTTCTTTTTCCTTGTCTACTGCAACTTTTTCCGGGGGAAGGGCCGCAGTGTGCCACAGCAGCCCACCCCACCCAAATCTTTTGGTCGATCTGACGACCTCAATCTGAGGAACTGTGCTGCACCACGTGAATGCACGTGTGCACATGTGCTGTTTGCTGCACAGGCACAAGATGGACCACAAGTATGATCGGATATATCCAGTCCTCTTGTAAGTATGCCCACAGACTAAGTCCTCTTGTAAGTATGCCTGCAGACCAAGTCCTCTTGTAAGTATGCCCGCAGACGAAGCTCAAAGGGCGAATGACATCGCAGTCTCCCCAGTGCAGTGCATGCCAAACTGCTAAGGACTGCTTATACACACCGACGACCTGACCATTTTACATCAGCTATCACGTGTTGACCTCCACCTACAAGCGCACAAACAATGAAATTCACTCTGTACTCAGATCTTCAAGCCCCATGCAAACACCCATCCATGCACACACACCCGACAACTCGTCACTGGTACATGGTCACACTCACATCGCCTGTCTTGGTTAGCACAATGTCTTTTGACTCTTCGAAGAACATACCCCATGATAATGGAGAATACTTGGTGTTAGTCCTGCATGCAAAACCACAAAGGACCAATCACCACTCAGATAGGTGGCCATTTCTCTCGCTCACCTGTGTTCCCCTCTCAATTAAAAAAAATACTCGTTTGCACGTACTTCTGCAAACATGTGTTTGCACACAACATGAACACTTGCATACTTTCATTAAATATTGGTCCTACACTCGAGGGTCGGGCCTTCCAAATCTGTCCCACCTGTATCCTGAAACCAGCAGCCTCAAGTGCTCCTTGGCTACATATGTGCCAAGATGTGCGCCATGCAGCTTAAACACTAATAAACAGTCCATAATCCGGGGTTATTTTGAAATTTTGTGAATGCAGCTTGAACCTATGTTGGGCCGTCGCCCAGCCCGGCACGCCCGGGCCAGTTTGGGCAGAGGGGGGGTCGCCCGGCAAAACCAGACGGGTCAAAAAAGAGGCAAGGATCCCCAAAAAAAAAAAAAAACTTCAGGCCAGGACTGCGCTTGGCCCAAGCAGTCAGAATCCGGTCTTAACTTCGGTTTTGGTGATGGGTCATCCAGGGGGGGTTGGGGGGTACAAACAGACTAAAGGGCTTAAAAGGGTACATTTGGAGTCTTTTGGGACTCATATTTTCTCATTTATTTTTATCTTGAAATTAACAAGGAATTTCGAGGTGGCCCTGAGCCAAAAGTCGTTTGTATTGCACTTTTACACAACATATTTTTTTTTCGGATTTTTTTGAGTTCTTTTTATTTTCTATTTTTTTTAATATTATGCGCTGGGATCGCCCGGGACCCTCCCCGGTCCGGGCCGCCCGGGGACTAACACAGGCTTAAACAGCCCATAATCCGGGGTTATTTTGAAATTTTGTGTCAGGTCAGATGGGGCAAGGTCCTTCGCGTTGAGCAGTTCGGGTGTGCACGGTAGGATCTTTCAGACATGTCCCACCTGTATCCTGAAACCAGCGCCTTTATGTGCCCCTTGGCTGTGTAGGTGCCAACATGCGCTGCATGCAGCTCAAACAGTACACAACCTGGATTACTTTGAAATTTGTATCGGGTCAGCAGGGGCAAGGTCGTTCCAGGTTGGTTAGTTAGGGTGTGCTAGGTCGTTTCGAGTTGGGCAGTTGGGCTGTGCAAGGTCCTTTCAAGCCGGGCCTTTCATACCTGTCCCACTTGCAGCCTGAAACCAGCACCCTTAAGTGCTCCTTGGCTCCATCTGTGCCAAGATGCGCTGCGTGCAGCTTAAATAGTCCATAACGGCATAATCTGGATTCCCTTTGAAATGTTGTGTCAGGCCTGCGGTGGCAAGGTCCGTCCAGTAGGGCAGTTAGTATGTGCACGGTAGGGCCTTTCAGACAGGCCCCACCCCTGTATCCTGATGCCAGCACCCTGATGCGTGCCAAGATGCACTGCATGCAGCTTAGACAGTCCATAACATGGGGTTATTTTGAAATTTTATGTCAGATTGGAGGAGACAAGGCCCTTCCGGGTTGAGCAGCTCGGGTGTGGTCAAGGCCATTCCGGGTTGAGCAGCTCGGGTGTGGTTACATGCTGCGCCTGCAACAGGCTGCACGGGCCCCTTTCAGGTCCGTGACGTTTTCAGGCCAAAACCCTGAAAACAAGGGCCTACAGGCCCTGTGTCGTTTCAGCCTGAAAGCCTGAAAACAAGGGCCTACAGGCCCTGTGTCGTTTCAGGCTAAATCAGGGCCTTTCCGGCCCTGAGTGTTTTCAGTCTGAAACTGAGGGCCATTTTCAGGCCCTCATCAATTCGACGGGCCCTGAAACTCAGGCAACAAGCCAGGGTTTTAGCACAGGCCATTTCGGGCCTGTTTTCAAGACAACCCCTGGTTGAGCTTCAACGCCAGGGTCTGGCACGTTTCGGCATTGGCAAGAGCAGCCTCCTGGGCGGGCCAGCACTATATAGGACTGGCCTGCCCTGCAGGCCGGCAGGTAGTTCCTAGGTACTTCCCAGGCACTTCACGTGAAGTTCAGGAGGCAGGAGGTAGTCTTCAGGATTCGGCAGCAGCACTCTGGAGGAGCGCTGCAGGAGTTGTAGCGCTAGCAGTAGTCTTCAGCGCTGGGCGCTAGTAGTGTTAGCAGTAGTCTTCAGCGCTGGGCGCTAGTACCGTTAGCAGTAGTCTTCAACGCTGGGCGCCATAGGAGCTAGAGTAGTACTAGAGAGAGAGATTGGGCGGAGGCCAGGGATACTTACCTGCAGCGCCATAGCTCCAGCTTCGCCTTCGAGGTACCTGCAGCACAGCGCCAGCTTCACAGGTTAGTACCTGGCATATGAGAGAGAGAGAGAGAGAGAGTTCTTCTTCTTCCTCTTCTCAGTCCACGATCTCCCTCTCACCCTCTCGCTACCTGACTTCACTGCATCAGTAGACTACGAGAGAAAGAGAGAGCTTGGTGACATTTGGATCCAGACTCGACATTTGGGCTTCAGACATTTTGACGAGGGATTATTTGGGACTTGTAACAAAGACTTGGTGTTGACGACATTCCCATCTCTCCCCCTCTTCTTCGTCTGTTCCGATCCTCTTCGTCTGTGCATGATCTGGGCCTGGCGCCTTCTTCCTGTGTATAGCGCCAGGTCCCTTCACACCTTGTGATGAGGATGATGTATGTTTGGTCTGCGTTGCAACATTGATTGGGCTAGTCATTGGTATTCTAGCATTCAGCTGCGCTGTCTTACACTACGTGGTCAGTCCCGGTCAGGTCAGGACTTGTATCTAAGTCTTCCACTGTGCTATAAAGCACCATTTTTTGTATGTATCAGAATGTACACTGCTTGTTGAGATTTCACTTGCACTGAATTGTCCATTCAGTCCTTTTTATCACATTGTGGATCCTTGGTTTATTATGTACATCGCCCAACTGGGCATGTAACAGGTGTGCAACTTCATTCCAAGTAGGGCAGTTAGGAGCTTAGGGTGCGAGTAAAAAAAAAGCGTTCCTCACAGCTCTTGTGGCAAGACTCACAATCTCTTACAACCATAGGAAGGCCACCAACCCCCCCTTGCGTACAACAAAGTATCCCAACACCACAATTGAAACAGCTTCACCTCCATAACAAACAACAAGAAGCACACTAAGATGAGCAGATCCAAAATTTAAGCAGCTTTATTCCTATAGCCTTTTCCTTATACAGTCCTTTCTTCGCTTTCCTTACAGGTATATTGCATTTTCCTTGTACGGTCCTCTCTTCGCTTTCCTTACTTTGGCTTTCTTTGGGGTAACCTTTTTATTTCTTCATGCAGCTCCCCTTTTGCTGCACCACTCGCATACAAGGCTCACCATGGTGATTGTGATTGAATGCAAGCTGCCCACATCCCCATGTGCCATGACACCCAGTGTGTGTGTGTGTGTGTGTGTTATGTTCGCTATTCAGAAATCCACAAAAGAAGCATGGGTTGCATGACTGTGCGTGAGTTTTATAACTCGCACCAAATGTCAATCCCAAATCCATAAAAAAACTGAGTGGGGATCCGGGCCGCCCGGGTGACAGGCAGGGGCCCGGGGGAGGTCCCGGGCGGCCTGGCCGGGCAGGGCACCCGGTTGGGGGCTGGGCCCCCCCAGCGCACTCACCTG